CTTGGCAGAGAGATTCTTGTTGAGACTGATGTGCTCGTGATGGCCGGTTTCGAGCATGCCATTGTCATCACTAATGCTGTCGTTATGAAAGTCGATGTCAGTCCAGAGTCACAAATTGGGCTGTATAGAAGCTTGGGCTCAGGGCAAACCTACTGCTGCTCGACAGGCGCATCAGCTGTTGCGATATGAGCAATCTCCTGCTTTGGGCCTCCGTCTGCCATGGCAAACCGAGACTATGAGAAGGAGCTTGTTGATGCTTGTGACTTATTGCGCGAGTCTTCTTTCTTGTTTCGAATGGGAAGATTTGGGCCTGTAGCTCAGGGGATGCGGAGAAGAAAGATGGAAGGAAGGTGCGGGGAGGGAGAAGAACAAGGAAGAAATAGTGGAGGGAAAAATAATAAAGAAAAAGTGGAAAATAAAAAAAAATAGAAGAATATTACCATATTCACAAGACAGTTCAAAGAAAAAGAAAATAAAAAAGAAGGCTGAATCCACAAGGAAGACCACTGACTGACCGTTCACGAGCGCCTATCCAATGGCGTCACTACCAGATTCACTTTACGCCTGGGCAATTCACGACCGCATGCATCTTTCTCCTGTCAGATATACAGAAAGTACCCACTTCTCCTATTGGTCCTCAAGGGCCAAAGATTGCAAACTACTCTGGAGCTACTATGCGGCCTAGAGTCAGTGGCTGCTCGTTGAAGAGCCATTGCCGCAACTAGCTCCTTCGCGTGAGAGTCTACTTGGTCGTATCAATGCTTTTCGCAAACAGTTTAACTACCAGGATATCATCTGTCCACCAGACCTGCCTGAGCTTCAAGGCCTGAGCAAGACTGGGGTGTTCCCTTGGCGTGGACGATCAAGGACCAGACGGACGAGGGGGGATCGGAGACAACAAGTGAGTATCCTAAAGCAGAAAGCTCCTTGGTAAAGTCTAAATTATTCTCTTTGCATTACGGCCAGATGTCTGGCGATGACCATGGCTGCCTCTGCGTCGTAAGACGTGCCTTATTCGTCCCGTCAACCACGCGAATTGAGTGTGTCAAGGTGGAACCCCCCACGGGTCCGAGGACTGCATTAAGGCATAGTCTAATCCGGAGGTTTACTCATCAGGATAATGCGGAGTGCAAGGCTGCTGCGAGCCTGTGATGCTGTCTCCGTCAGGCTTCGAGAAACAAAGTTGAAGGAATATTCTCCTGCATGGTCATCCCTTGAGTGACCATGCGCCTGGAACCTATATCCCACCACAGCGATCAGGAGATTCAGCGATTATCCTTGCTATGATCGATAGACGTCAGAGACCTGAAACACGAAGACATTCCCAATTGCCGGTCTTCGTCAAATTGAGCCCTGTGCTCGTTCTCACCCCCACTTCCACCCATACGGGATCCCGTGTCATACCATTATTCCTTTCAGGCTGGAGGTGTTGGTGAGCCGATTGCCCGCTGTCTCAACACTAAATGCACGAGCCAATCTCAAGAAAACAAAAACGCCACTCTTGTTACTTGAGGGAATATCCTTGCCAGAATTGCCAGGACTGGACAAGATCCTGGACGTTTGACCAAGCGTTATTCGCTACTCTTGGCCGGTTCCCAGTCCCGCCGATGGCTAGTACTTTAAGCTAAGCCAAGAGCAGTCAAGTGCGTTGGCATAATGGGTCCATCTCGGCGGCCGATGTGACTTTGGGGAAGTCACGGACTCTCAGTCACGGAGTCACCGCCAAAAGGCCCCCAACCCCAAGCCCCCAGAGCTTAAGCAAATAAGAAGATTGTGGTGGACGGTGGTGGGGTCGGCCTGAGGCTTTGTTCAGACGCAGATTGCAACCCTACTCTTTCAGACATTTTTAAGATCAGGATCCCTGGATCTCCGTCCGCGTGGTCATATTATTCCTTGGTAGATGCAATCTCTTGACTCTGCTGTACAAAACTTCGAGCTTTTACTCGGTACAACGTACAAAGAAAGATCGGCTCAAAGTCTGGGACAGTGTAACCTGGAGACGAACTCCAGATCAGGAACCCGGAGAAAATCTGGGGAGTAAGCCAGATTATGCTTTGGGTTTAGTCTCTCTATCTCGTACCCGCACATTCCAACGAGCACATGGTCATCTGCCCCCTTGCTGACCTTCCGCCTCTGGAATGTGGATAGGCTTAAAGAGGCATTTTATCATGAACCCCACCTGAGGACAGCTATCGACTCCAACGGACATCACCGTCGCCATGATACACTGAATGTGAATTCAAAATCTCATGATATGCGGCCAAGAAACCACCTTGGAAGAACGAGATCCGAGCCCGTTCTCACCCTTTTTTCGAGACAAATCTATATGCTGACTGCAACTTTTGCCGAGAGTGAACATTGCATCTATGAAACTCATCAAGTACTAGTCTACTATGAATAAGGAATAATAATTATGATTATCAAAGAGGCTCGAGTGTACCAGGATATGAGGTTACAGCCCTCCATGCCTCCGACTATGGATACGGTCTGGCCAGCTGATGGAGTTGACTCAACATCAACATCAAAAACGCCATGTGGGGAATTTCCCCCGTTTGCTTTTGCCTGGCTTGGTCTTGTGGCTGATGATCGCCAAATTCTCATTAAACTTTTTCCCTATTTTCCTTCTTTTTTTTGTTTTCATTTTCGCCCGTACTTCACATTCTGGAGAATTCCAGTTAGTTCCTTTGTTCTGCTGTTTACAGCGGATGAGAGATTTCAACGACTCTGACCGGTGAATTCATGACTTATCTGTTCCCACAGTGGCGAAAAATCTACGACACACTCATCCAGAAAATGAGGCTTAAGCCCATATGTTTCCTGTTCTATGCATTGCCAAGATGGCCAACTTCATATTGCTTTTCAGAGCTTCGGTTAAATGCCCAATAACCATGCGCAAAGCCCCAGCCGGGATGTGGTACATAAACCGAGACTCCATTCCCCAGGTAGCATTGAGTATTCATGCTACACAATTTCAGCCGAAAACTCTAAGATGAACCCGAACACGACATATCCCGAATATCTCGCCCGAGTCACGTTGAACAGCCGGATCAGACCGTGGCTAAGGTCGCACACCGATCAACTCGAGGCTAGTAAAAGAGAGATAAAAGTACTCTGAGTCAGATGCCTGCAGTACTTACCAGGGTAAGGCAGCGGGTTGTATGGTGCATTGGAAGCCTTGTGTACTATTTAGCTGTAGTATTTTCTGTTATTTTCTGGGCCTTTGACTGAACTGCGGCTTAAGAGGTCAAGCAAGCTCAATGGTCGATATCTATCTATGCCTAATAAGTCTCTTTTGGAAGTAGTATGTCAGAGTCTGCTTCCGAGTCCAGGTTGCCGAACCCGACAATGACGATCATGACCTTCTTCAATCTTGAGCTCCGGCCTTGGAGCTCTCCAGTCTCGATTCTCGAAGCTCAGTAGTTCTTCCTGAAAACAGGCTATCCGCCACTTCGACTTCAAGGGGATTTTCCAATCTTCTATGTGCACGTGGATTACAATGTATACTCTGGCAGTGATTAAATGAAGCGGTGACCACTAGACATCTGGCTTGGGATGCTTCTTGATCGCATGCCACCCTCACTGATATCCAGTGATACTGACGCAAGCTCATCTCGGAACAACTCTAGAGCTCCATGAGATACTCCCTTCTGGCTCGTAGGGCCAAAAGGTTAATGACAACCATGGCTGATAACAGTTATGCAAGATGGCCTGTCATATTTATCCAACCGCTCTGAAGCAAAACCATTTAGCGGCGAACAGTTTTGGTGAATAGGCATGGATCTGATCTAGGTACGTACTGTCTATATTTTGAAGCTAGAGTGCTTATGCGGCTATGCCCTTTCCCTCGAGTTATTGTTGTTGTAATGACATAGAATCTCCCCGGAGCGCGGCCCTGCCTACCAGGAGTCTTCAACTAGTCAGATTTAAGTTTCAAAATTGGGACCTATTAGAGAGTGGATATAATATTTACCTCTCCAATGATGCTTGTCAAGAAATTGGGCGAGCAAAGGATATCGATGTTGGTGAGATAATAACCTCTCAGCTGCCATAGACCGTTATTGTCAAATAAACGGGAGGAATAGGTCAAGACTCGGTGGTGGGATCTACGCTGTATTCAACTATGCTAGAGACACTTATGGGACCGGGTATACCCGCTAGGCGACTGGAGACTGCAGTTCTGCCTTGTCAGGATGTTCCTGGTTTCGCTCTGCGTTCGGCTGTCAGATTCTGATTCTATCTGTTGATGATCGGATGGTGAGTCCTGTGTCCAGGAACCAACTCCAATGTCCCAGAAAATCAGTCCTCAGTTCAGTCATCACCGTTCCTAAATTTTTCATGTATCCGGAATTAACCTACTCGCTGTCGATAACTTGGTACCAGCGAGTTTGGAACATTCAGACAACTGACCCCTGGGCAGCTAGGATTCTGGGCAGCTAGGGTTGTGGTTGACAAGCGTAGTACAAACCAAGTCAGCAGAAATAATTCCTTTTCTCACTCTTTTTCTGCATGAGTCTATCTCCAACAAACTGCAGTTTGTTTATATACCAATAAACCTGGATAAGGCACATTGCACTCTGCATGTCTTATTGTCTGGTAGCTATTATGCTCTCTGTGGAGGCATTTGTAGACAATCTGGGATGGATCAAGGCAAGACACTCTACTCTTGCACGTGGTTCAAGATTGGGGGCGCCCTATAAGCAGAGAAAGTGCTACAAATGGCTGAACCTCGCCTAAAACTTGCAGTGGAAAATTCTACTCGCATATAGGTCGTGTCGGCGCTGTACTCATAAATGGTCTTAGGTTTCCCTCATAGCTAATTACCTGATCAGGCTAGATCTTCCCCGTGCTCCGCATCACGTGCATCAGTTAGACGTCCTTTCTGGTTTCCGAGATAGAAGGTGAGGATCGCTACTGCGTATGAGCTCAATATCCATATGCGATGCTATTATCACCCTATAACTAATTAGAGGGTGAAATGCACCGCTCATAATTGTTCTAACATGAATTTCACCCAATTAGAACCCCCTTCTGTGCAAGATCTCCTGCGCTCCGGAAAGCCATTTGTCCCCTTTTCCGAGTTCTCGGTCCATGACCTCTGTGACCTAAGTCACAAAGAAGCCAATGACTGGCTGGAACGCAGGTTGCAGGAAGAAAAGCCATTTATTATTCATGACTTTGACAAGCTCGACAATTGGGACAAGGGCGTTCTGAGCAGCAAGAGCCTGGTAGACCTGTCTTCCTCGGGATGTACGTCAAAAATCGAATACCACTACTTTGTTATATTAGATGCTTACCTGGATTCATTGCTTGTAGCAATACCTGTGAGGAACTGTCAGACGGGACGAGATGTGCGTATGAAGCTTGCGGATCTTTTCCAGTGTCAGACGGACCCTACGCGAAGTAACAATGTCCGAGAATCGTATGTCGACCGACCAGCTTCTCGATTCTTCACAATATTCTGACTAGTAGCATGTCCAGTCTATATGCAAAAGATCTTCAGTGTCCGGAGGAGTGGGTTAAAGCTTTGAGAGCCATCTTACCATCCTCTTTGCAGCACTTGGGTTCCTTGGACTTGTTCCGAGTATTGCCCCGAGAAATTGCACCAGAGGTCTTGATGGCGTATGCTGGAACCCAAGGATCTTTGTATGTGACCGTCCCAAATGCTGTATAGAATGCATAACTGACGCGACGACTACAGTTCCGGCTTTCATAGATGCTTTAGCGGGACAGTTGCTCTCAATCTTGTGACCGAATCCAAAGGTAGATGATTCGGAATCGATTATCGGGACATTTGGAAGGACAAACTAACCCGTTCAAAGGCCGTCGGTCAGGTTCAATCTGCTTCGGTACTGACAGACAATCGCAAACAGAATATGACGCTTACATGGAGGAATTGGGAAAGTCATCGCATACTGACTGGGCCAATGCTTCGATCGCGCAGCTCCGATCAGCCAATTTTCCCATCTATGTTACCTACCAAGAACCTGGCGATCTGATTGTCTATCCATCAGCAACTGCACACCAAGTTTGGAACATTGGTCCAATGGTTACCAGGGTCGTTTGGAATATCATGCATACATCTTCCATGGTATCTTTCTTTGATTACATCCAACCCGCGTATCAAAGGCAATGCCATACAGACACCGGCCGAGTCCCATTGATACCGCTACATGCACTTAGGGATCCTACTACGCTTAGCGCAAAAGAGCTGAAACTCCTTTTGGAGATCTTCGAGCGGCTGGTCGATGATGATGATGCGGGTTCAGATGTGCCTGTAAAGCTTGTGGATACTCAAGGTGCCGTGGTGGAATGCAATTATTGTGGACTGACTATCTGGAATCGGCATTTGCATTGTGAGCAGTGCGGGGATTTCGACTTATGCTTGCCTTGCTTTGTCTCTGGACGAAGTTGCAAACATATTACGGACTATACCTGGGCAGAGTTGATTCCCAGAGAAGATTGTCAAGCGTTAATCGATGCAACCCGAAAGAACACTGATTTTATATCCCCTTCAAACCCCATGATAGCAGAGTAAGTATTTGTCTTGACTTTAGGACTCGTACCTACGATTTTCCAATCCTTCTATCACGGCTGAGAGTTTGTCAGCACAAAGTCCCACGAAGCTGACCAGTTATTCATAGGCAGAAATCTCTGGGTCTTTTGGCTAGGGCTGCGGCGGATACTCGACGACAGTCTATGGTAAGTACAGCCCTATTTCAACAAATTTGAACTCAACAATTGACTCTTGCCAGGAACGCCTTTGCCATCTGTGCCGAGACAACCATACAGTGTGGAAAGGGATCACATGCTCCCAGTGCTCTGCGTTCTTCTGCTTCCGTGGTCTCAACAGACATTTTGATATTGATCTCATTCCTCTGCTCCGAAAAGAGGGCCCGTGGGTGTGCCCCAAGTGCTCTCAACGGTGCAACTGCCGATGTTGCCACTTTGCTCAGCCATATCAGAGTAAAGAAAAACCCGTCAGAGCCCGCATCAAGCCTGCCGATCCCCGAGGCCGTGTTATGGGCTTTGTAGACAATGTGTTCGATCAGAAGAGAGGAAAGAGAGCCAGCGCAGGGCCACAAATAACACCTTCGCAGACGACCATCTCTCTGCAAGGGCGAAAACGGCCTAGGCCAAACAGCAGCGAAGGCTCCGAGCAACGACTGCTGGACCGCAGCAGGTTTTCTTCTACGGAGGACACTCAACCGCCTGGCATCGTGAGATCAGAATCAGACGACTTACGGAGCGGAGACACTGCTCAACCAAATATACATCTCGCCAAATTGCATTCTTATGGGAATCCTTGGCCTAAAGGACAGCTTCGAATTTGTGACCTGGTTGAGAGCCGGGATGAGAGTGCGGCGGCCGAAGGAAGCTCTCGCAATCATGCCTCACAGTACCACCCTGCTGCACTTCCTGAGATATCAAACCGGCTTCATCACTCTTCAAGAGAAAACAACTCTTCCTTCTCATCTACAAGTGAAGAGAGTATCCTTACTTTGGAGAAGAGACTGGACGCTCTTCGTCGATATGCGGATGATCTTCTCGAGCTCTCTTTGGTGGAGTCGCATGCTAAAGTGCTTGAGAAGATCACTGCATTTGAAACCCAGATTGACCAGATCAGGAGGCGAAAGGCCGAAACGCTCTTCAGTAATTTGAATCGGGACTTTCCCGACCTGGCCAACGTAGCCATGGAAGAGGCGCGACGGCGAGGGCTATGAATATTGCATACCATCATCGAGGATATCTCTAACTACGCAATAGTGAACCTGGCACACCAAATATCGACCTCACTGGCAGACCATGATTGTGGGTGTGGAAACGCAAGGATATTATATTTCTGCAATATTGCACAGGCAGCTCGCTGAAGCGATGGCTAGCACTATATACTGGTAGAATCGCCTCAACTTTGTAAGGATGGGCTGATTAAACAAGTCGATATTTCGCCTTATAACACAAAATGATAGAGTCAATCGACACCACGTTGGTCCATGTGTCAAACAGTAAGGTCGGCATCTCAACTTAGCCCACTCAAACAAGGCTAACGCTTCTCCCCGCCTCTGGAAGCGTACGAGCTGACCTCCCCAAGAATCCAACATAAATACTCACTGTTCCTGGACAAACTTATCATAAAACAATTCCGTTACGTGTCATTTCAGGATGGATCCCTTAACAGCTACCCAGCTGGCAGCAGATGTGGCAGGCATCTTCCTGAAAATCGTGAACACCGTTAAGGACATTATTGAGACGATGAATGGCGCTAAAGAAGCCCTCATCGAGCTGCTGAATCGCTGCGAAAGGGTACGCTTATATCTCGAACTATTTAGGTCTCTCACAAGCCGGCTATCCAACCCAGTCGAACGATCCATATCATTATCTTTCAATGATAGTGCGTACCGCCAAACTGCCGACGAGATCCTGGGGTTTGTTCACAAGATTGGGGATGCCTCAAAGCATTCCGAAATCTGGATGAAGTTCAGCTGGGTTTTCTACAAGACCGATGTCACCGCGTTGGTCGGGAAGCTTGAGGCTCGCGAGAAGGACCTCAACCTAGTCCTAACTTTCATTGCAGCGTATGAGTCCTTAAGAAAGCTTCCTGTGTGTCTGAATCTGACATGGGCGCGACAGTCAGTCCAGTGTGGTAACTGAGAATGAGGTCATTACGATGAAGAGCCGTGCTAAAGAATGGGCACAAATCACTGAAGCTTTTGGCACGACTCATTTGAGTCAAGACAGCAACGAGTTGGGCTTGAAACATTCTTCCGAGCAGGAAAAAAAGGGACCTAGCTCACACAAAAAATCGCATAATAATGGAAAGCAAATGTCCCCCAATTTGATATCAAACCAACCTTCTCCCAATCCCACGAAACCAGCACTGTGGCATGGAAACGTCCTCAAGACAGGCTTGGACCCGGCCTATCTCAAAGAGAGAGCGCGGTTGTCCGACGCAGCATACCGGGCAGACTGGCATCGGCTGTTGTCTTCACTGGACACAGGGAGACGCCGCTTTGGCGAGTCATGGTGCAATTCTTTTCGTCTAAGTATGCAAGTCCGCGGAGTGCATTGAGTGATGGCTGCTTAATCCTGGACAGGATCAGAAGACGAGTCCCAACGACAGAGCCTATGGACACCTTTGCACCAGGCGGCGTATATGAATGCGCCGAAGAAGGTGGTAGAGAAACTCATTCGATTCGGGGCTTTCAGTATGATCTTGTTTCTATATAAACTACGCTGAATCCGTTGACAATGATGCTAGGAACCCTGCCGACTAACAAATCCAAAGGCGAAGGCCGCTACGAGGATCTGACGGCCGTCGAGATTGCCCGTGAAGTCGGATACTCAGATCTTTGGGACATTCTAACCCCAGTTATCCGTCATTTCGTTCCTCCGAGGGTTCTACTAGATCTGGAAGAAAAGTTCCATGCACTGATACACGCCGAACTAGCTGGCTTCGCTGATCTGGAGCACCTTCGTCTTCCTCAACTGGTGGTGTTGACCGAGCTAGAGAATCCGGAGATGTGGTTTCCAATTCAACCTCAGAGTCAGCACGGGAGAGTGCGTCATCTAAGTGCTCGTAGTTTGGAGCCGACTACTGACTTTGATCTAGGGATTCTTGTTTCGTTTTGATGGTCGAGAACTGGTGGTTCTGAGTGTTGGGAGGAACCCTCCGCAGCCCAAGCAGCTCTACCGTGTATCGGCAACAGGATGGACTGCCATACAAGATGCAGTCGTGTTTCGACGGTAGCTCTTGGAAAATTACTTTCTTTCAGCAAAAGTTTGGTCTGATATGCTGGTCATGCACTGCTACTGCTTGAAATGCTATGGCTGGCCTGTTTCACTCGCAAGTTGTATATATGATTCCACACTGGTGGATATTGATCATTGGACACATTTATAGGGGAGGGGCATGTTTTGTCATTTCTTGGAAGAATTGGTTCACCTACCGCAGCAAAGCAGAAGACGTTGATGACTGATGACCAGCTCAAAAGAGTTCCGATTAATGACAGCATGGCCATGTAATAAGTCATAGTCGAGTCCGGTATTCGAGAGAGTGCTGTCACCTGAAGGTAGTCTCATATTCTTATTGCAGTTCCGTTGTTTTGCCGCAGTCCTTTGCCTCTTGGAGGTTCTCGTGGGTATAGACAGGTACTTGAACCTGTTCCACGGAAAGCAAGCGGACAATCGTCATGGGGTGCCTCCACTGCGGAACCGAGCTCGCATCACCAACCTCGTTCACTGTTCATCACCTGTTGAAGTCACTTTGTCCTCAAATTATCACACGTTCCTGTGGCTGATACAGTGATCATTTGGACGGTATCTCGTCCTCCGCCTGATACGTACCGGTACTTCCTAGGAACTTGTGTTTGGTATGTTTGAACCCCATTCCACTGCCCCTTCCTGCCATTCTCCGCACACGGACCAAGCCCTGACAGCAGCAGGGTAGATCATCAGCGACCTAGCTGAGTCCCAGGGGATCGGTACCCTTTTAATGTTTGATCAAGCAATCACCTCGACTGACTAGAGGAGCTATCCCCGTCAGCTGGAGATTCCGATCGCGTCGCAGTCATTGTTTCTTTATAAGGATTCGATCATTCCGGGGCGATCGGTGTTTGGGAGCCCAACTAAACACACTACGACAGTGCTACTATCTTGACCGCCTCCACAGCCCACATCCAAGCTATCGCTCACAGACGCACGATCTTCCCAACCATCTCTTTTTTCTTATTGGTTTCTTACTTTCTCCCCTCTACCTCATTCTCTGAGATTCCGATCTTTGTCGGCTTGGTCCTGGTTCTCGGGTCTCTGTAACGAGGTTCCCTTCTGCTCTCATCCCCCCCTCCTCCCTCCCGTCATGCCATGCTTCAAGGGTCTGGCCGTGAGTATACACACTCCGGACGGCCCCATTTCGGAGTACTCCATTCAACGCCAGTCTCGGGCATCACGTATCGCTTGCTACATCCCGGTACCGCCGCCCAAATTACCAGACTCCGCCAGCGGGAAACCTGAACAGTCGACCTTTGCCATTTCCATCACGCTCCTGAATCCCGGCCAGGATGTCCCGTACTCGACGCCGAAACCGACGCCGGACAACCCCTCACCGAAGCCTAAGGTCGTGGGGGGCCTCCCCGGGCAGACAAGCGAACGCGGGCAGTACACCAGTGCCGTTGCGCCATACCAACCCTTGACCAACTCGCCGAATGAAACGGTCGCAGCTTATATTTACTTTGATGGCCGGCAGAAAGAAGAGGTCGCTACATTGCTCCGGAGAGGGGAGGAGACTTGGGTCAACTCGCGATGGGTGAGCGTGCCCGAGTCCGAAGGAGGTGGGCTTGCCGAGCGAGAGTTTTTGTTTCGTGAAGTCGGATTGGAGAGATGGTTGAACGGGCTGGATCTGGAAGGCAAGGATGTCGCTGCTCGGATTGAGCGAAGACGGCAGAAGATGGAGAGACGCCGGCTGAACCGCGAGTCCACCGAGGGCACTGGTGACATGGAGACGGATTCCAAGTCGGCAAAGGGGGGCAAGGGGATCATGCGGTATGGCAATGATGAGAAGTCGCCTCTGGAGAACGTCTCCGACGATGATATGTCGTGTTCCGATTCCGACGACGATCCGATCCCCGAGTCTGCTGGTCAGATCAAAGTTGCGTTGTTCCGGGTACTGGCCTCCGGCGAAATCAAACGAGGAGAGTACTCGCCGCAATTTGATGCTCATGACGACGATGAGGATAATCAGAGCGGGCAGGGCAACGGCGCGGACATTGATCACACGACAAGCTTTGCAAAGCCCAAGACGTTGGATCCCAAGACCATCAGCACGCAAACGGTTACAGGCATTGATCCTTCTGACAAGCCGTATGCGATTTTTACTTTCATGTACCGAGGAGAGAGTATGTTTCGAGATCGCGTTGATTATTAGGAAGGTTTAGCTAACTGTTTATCAGGACAACTACAGAAAATGGGAATTCTGAAAGATCCCAAGTCTCAAGAGACTCCTGCTTCCGCGAAGCGACGATCGTTGCAAACCGACTTCTCCAGTCTCGGCCCGCTCAAACCGGGCGGTACAGTTGGATTCCTCAATTTCCGGGACAAATCCGAGAACAAGGACAAGAAGAAGAAGAACAAAAGCGTGGAAGACGACGACATGGAAAGCGAAGATGATGACGATGATTCCATCCTCGGCAAAGCAGACGATGAGGAAGCCAAAGAAGACAACCATGATTTAACCGCGGAAGATATAAAGCGTCAAGGAGAACTTGCGGAGGGTGTCCGTAAGATCAAAGTAAGTTGCTCCGGTGTGATTGAGATTACTTTATCCTAACAGGTGCAGCTTAAACGTCAACACTCTTCTGCAAGCTTGGCCGGCGCTAGTAGCAAGGCCGACGCTGGGAGCCCCCTGAACTCGGGAGAGACGCCAGCCGCTTCGAGCATATCGACGACGCCTCCTAATGCACCCGCAAGCAGCAATGCAGGCTCGGAAGCCGCAAAGGCTGCTGTGAATACACTCAATGGAGCATTTGTGGGTAGTCCCCTGAAGAAGCAACGAGCCAGTGTATCAGAAGCGGATGAAAGCTCTCTGCGTCGCCGGATGGAGTCTGGGCTTTCCCAGGAGATCAGCGGAGCTCTGGGAAGCGCTGGAGAGCAAACGCAGACTGGTACGCCTGCGAATACATTTGGGGGAAGCCTGAAGCCACAGGGACCTGCGCTTCAACAGCCAGCACTCCAGCAACCAGATGATGATGAAGAGTTGTAGGGTGATTGGAATTCAATGCTTGGGATCTACAGCTCAGGGACACATTGTGGTCAGCAACACTGGCATCTTTTCATGACCGTGACGGACTGGCGTAAATTGAGCGCATGGCTTGCACTATTTGGATTTATTCTTGCACTATTTTCTTATCTAGTGGAGGTATTTTTTGCTCAGTCGAAGCTGGGAAATTTATTTAGGTGACCTTTTTGCTTGATGCCGACATGACGGGAGCAGATTGGAACGGAGGATACCACAGCGTCATTCCCGGGATGGCTTTTTCTTCTCCAGACATTTATTGACGAAGAAATATCGGGTGTGAATTGACTTGACTGTTGATGGGAATTACTATAGAATTATGAACTCGCAGGACAATATACCACCGGACTTTTGAGACAGACTTTTAGTTTGTATCTGTTGTATTCATTCATGAAATAATGTGGTGTCGAGCTCCAGCTTCAATGTGGAAACTTCTTCCACTCCGCGTCTCGCAGTGGAACAATCTTTTCTTGAATCCAAATCATCATCAGTTCTCAATTCGAAGCAGACGATTCCTGAGCTCCTTTGGCAATTACAGGATGCCTCTCGAGCGCTCTACAGACCCTCTGGTCTGGATAGACTGCGAGGTCAGACGTCTGAACAGCATCCCTTAAAAACACTCCTACGGAGTACTGACTGACATCATAGATGACCGGCCTCAACCCCGAAACAGACACCATCCTCCAGATCTGCTGCTACATAACCGACGCCAACCTCAACCTCCTCGACCCGGCAGGCTTCGAAACCATCATCCACCACGACCGCTCCGTCCTCGAGTCCATGTCGCCGTGGTGCGTCGACACCCACGGTCGCACGGGGCTCACCGCCGCGGTCCTCGCATCCACGACCAACCCCGCCGCGGCGGCCGCGTCCTTGCTCGCCTACATCCAGCGATACGTGCCGCATCCGCGCACAGCGCTGCTGGCGGGGAACAGCGTGCACGCCGACAAGATGTTCCTCGCGAAGGAACCGTACAAGGCTGTGCTGGAGTGGCTGCATTATCGGATTCTGGATGTGAGTGCGTTCAAGGAGGCGGCCAGGCGGTGGGGTGGTGAGACATTGTTAAGGGAGGTGCCGCCCAAGAAGGAGGTGCATCTGGCGAGGGAGGATATCTTGGAGAGTATTGAGGAGATGAGGTTCTATAAGGAGAGGTTGTTTAGGGAGTAGCTATTATTAGATTTGGTTTTACTACTATGTATTAACTATTAACGGCACTGTGCTATGACCCGCTGGCCGGACGAGAGCTCTCCTAGCTAGGAGCACTGTACCAAGTATGTATCTGGCTCGGTGAGCCAAGGAGATTATGACCAAACTTTGCAGCAAAGAAATGGAATTAGCGCTCATAAGAGATGTTATATTCATGACGAAGGTCCATGCTTGGGAGACCTGATCGCTGTGATGCGTTGGCAACACAATGCAGTTGACTACGCTGTATGATCGCAAGCCACTTGAACAGGCCTAGTTACCATTCAAATACTACCTACCTGCATGGATCCATCAATGTCTCTCATTGGTATGGCAATATCCAGAATATTTCTTGTTCGTGGACTCCCAAAGTCATAATAATGACGCTTGTGTTGCCCCTCTCTCAACCAGTGGTGATCGGCCCACCTTCCCTCCGCTTCGACTGAGACTAGACTCCTGTTTTCTCTGTGCTTCTGCTTTTTGTTCTTCTTCTTCCTTGAAAGTCGGTGAAGTCTTTTTCTTTCTTCTCTTCTCTTCTCTGCTCTGCTACTTCTGATCTACTGAATCACTCCAAATCCCTTACATCTCTGCAGACTTGTTCTGTACTGTCGAGGCTACTTGACTGCTCCCCTCTACCCCACGTTGTCACCCAAACAAACCAACGTCATGTCGGTCCAGACAGTCTCCATCCAGCCTTTTGCCGACCAGAAGCCAGGAACGTAAGTATTCTCTTCTTGATTAACCTTAATACTTATTGCCATTATATTGTGAGCGAATCAGCTGATTATCCCTCATTGTAGCTCTGGTCTTCGCAAAAAGGTCAAGGTCTTCCAACAGCCCCACTACTCCGAAGCTTTCGTCACCAGCATCCTGCTCTCCATCCCTGAGGGTGCTGAGGGAGCTTTCCTTGTCATCGGTGGTGATGGTCGCTACTACAATCCTGAGGTTATCCAGAAGATTGCCAAAATCAGTGCTGCCTATGGCGTCAAGAAGCTCCTGATCGGCCAGAATGGCATCCTCAGTACTCCTGCTGCGAGCAACCTGATCCGTGTGAGAAAGGCTACCGGTGGTATCCTGCTGACTGCCAGTCACAACCCGGGTGGTACGTGAAGCTTCTCTTCTGTCAAATTCGAGCGCTAATTTTTTAAGGACCCAACGCCGATTTCGGTATCAAGTACAACCTGTGCAATGGTGCCCCCGCTCCCGAGTCCGTCACCAACAAGATCTTCGAAACCTCCAAGTCCCTCACCTCCTACAAGATTGCCGAAATCCCCGATGTCGACACCTCCACCATTGGCACCAAGACCTATGGCCCCCTGGAGGTTGAGATCGTTCACTCCACCTCCGATTACCTCAAGATGATGAAGGAGATCTTTGACTTTGACCTGATCAAAGAGTTCCTAAGCACTCACAAGGATTTCAAGGTGCTGTTTGATGGTATGCACGGTGTGACTGGTCCCTATGGTGTGGACATCTTCGTCAAGGAGCTCGGTCTGCCCCAGGACAGTACCATGAACTGCGTCCCCAGCCCCGACTTCAATGGTGGCCACCCTGACCCCAACCTGGTCTACGCCCATGAGCTGGTCGAGGCAGTGGATAAGAAGGGGGTCCACTTCGGTGCTGCCAGCGATGGTGATGGTGACCGCAACATGATCTACGGTGCCAACACCTTCGTCTCCCCGGGTGACAGCTTGGCCATCATCGCACACCACGCCAAGCTCATCCCCTGGTTCCAGAAACAGGGTGTTTATGGTCTGGCGCGGTCCATGCCCACCTCCGGCGCCGTGGATCTGGTTGCCAAGGCCCAGGGTTTGCAGAGCTACGAGGTCCCTACGGGCTGGAAGTTCTTCTGCAACCTGTTCGATAACAAGAAGATCTCCATCTGCGGTGAGGAGAGTTTCGGAACAGGCAGCAACCACATTCGCGAGAAGGACGGTGTCTGGGCCATTGTCGCCTGGTTGAACATCATCGCCGGTGTTGCCAAGCAGAAGCCCAACGAGACCCCCAGCATTGCGTCGATCCAGAACGAGTTCTGGCAGACGTACGGCCGCACCTTTTTCACTCGCTACGACTACGAGAATGTCGACAGCGACGGTGCTAACAAGCTGATCGCCAACCTGTCCGAGAAGGTCAACAACAAGGACTCTTTCGTGGGCAGCACTGTCTCCGGCCGCAAGGTGGCTGACGCGGGCAACTTCGCCTACACCGACCTGGATGGCAGCGTGACCAAGAACCAAGGTCTGTATGTCAAGTTCGATGACGGCAGCCGCCTTGTGGTCCGCCTCTCGGGCACGGGCAGCAGCGGTGCCACCATCCGTCTGTACATTGAGAAGTACGAGAGCGACAAGAGCACGTTCGGCATGAACACTCAGGACTACCTGAAGGACAACGTGGCTCTTGCCATGTCTTTGTTGAAGTTCAAGGAGTACATCGGCCGGGAGGACCCTGATGTCAAGACTTAATTTGTTTATTTTTCTACGGCAAGCCGCGCTGGTTTTACGACGGTTAATATGAATGCAGCAAGTAATTTAAGCATGGATAGAATATAGTAGTTATGGCAGTGCCAGCTCAAAATCGTTAATGCAGTCATTAGTAGCACTCATCACATCATCATAGGATAAAACATCATGCGATGCCAGCCGCAGCAAGCTTCTCGGACCACCACTCCTTCCATCGCACAACCTTTTCCTCCCGCCTGGCCTCTTCGGCCGCAAAGACCACGGCATGGCTGCGAACCGCTTCTTCCAGGGTACAGCCGACGAAATGGGTTTGCGCGCGTTGCACCTCCCAGCCCTCATTCTCGACGGCATCCACAGCACGCACGAAGCTGCGCGCCAGCCCGTAGTCTCCTCCGCCGTGCGCCTCCTCCTCTTCCGGCGGCTGCTTGGGCACCTCGACGGTGGTCGTTGAGCGGGTTGCGAAATCATAGATGGAGATGGTCCGGCTGTCGTAGGCGATCTCGCCGCGCGTCCCGTAGACCCTCCCGCGGCGCTCGCACTGTTTCTCCGTGGGAGCAATCATGTGGAAGACGGCCGTTTTGGCGCGTCTGCCTTGCAGTTGCAATTGCGCCTGCTGTCCGTCCCCGTTGACGGGCGGTTGGTCGGCCTCATCCTCGTCATCCCACGTAATGGTCACGACCTGGTCGTCGCAGACGTTATTGTCCGCCTCGTAGACACACCGGCCATACCACGGTCGCCGGGCGATCTCGTCGTCGCTCATCTCCCCGCGGGAGTAGTCCTCGCGCAGGCGGGCCAGGAGATGCGCCTCGGCCTTCGCTGCAGCCTCGCTCTCTGCAGACGAGGAGCGCAGCACGTCCTCGATATCCGGCACGACGATCTTAACGGGCCAGCCGGTGTCGCCGCGGGCAAGGTGCAGGTCGCGGTAGATCCGCACGGCGCTGTAGATGCATTCCCGCTCCGCGGGGCAGGAGACGCAGTTTGTGGCGGCGCCCGCGGCGGGTGGTTTTCGGGCGCGGCGGAATTGGGTCAGGGTGCCGGTGGAGGTGATGCTGCGGGGGTGGTGCGGCCCGCACTGGTCCTGCGACGTCGCAGACTCTGGAGGAGGGGGAGGGGAAGCTAGTAACCACATGATAAAGTCGATGTCATGGCAGGACTTGGTAAGCAGGGAACCGTCGCCTTGGGCCGTCGCGCGCCGCCAGTTCCCGCGGACGTAGCTGTGCGCGAAATGCCACCAGCCCACGGGCTCGGTGTGCTCCAGCGAGACGATGTCGCCGATGGCGCGGTCGAGGAGGAGGAGCTTGCGCAGGAGGATGTTGTGCGGGCTGTAGCGGAGGACGTGGCCGATGGAGAAGATCTTGTCCGCGCCGGAGGCGGCAGCACCGCTCTCGCTGGGTGACAATGCTTTGTAAACGGATAGACAATCGCCCAGCGACAGGGCCAGCGGCTTCTCACAGAGGATATGCAGCCCCAGTGGCGCCAGCGCCGTGACGATCTCGACGTGTGTTTCGTCGAGTGTGCAGACGAAGACCCCGTCGATTCCCTCAGACTCATCCGGCTGTTGCGCCTGTCGACGCCTCGTCTCCCAGTCCAACCAATCCCTCCAATCGCTAAACTCCTGGCCGGCGGCTGGCCGCCCCTTCTCGCCCCAGATATACTTGCGGCCGAAATCGGCGCGTTTGAAGGCGTGCGGTTCGGCGACGGCGTGGATGCGCGCGGGGGTGCTGGTTGTTACGGCGCGAGCGTAGGCGTTGCCGCGGGAGCCGGCGCCGATGACGAGGAAGTGCAGGGGTCTACGCCCGTTTAGGGGTCTGGAGGGGAGGTCGTGTTCTGTTGTTGGTTCTTTCATGGTGGTTGGTGGTATGCGGATGCGGATGTTGATGCTGATAGACGATAAGCAATAGAGGGGAAGAGGAATGCGGGGTCTAATTTACAGCAGATATTCAGGGCTTGCGCTAACGACAGGCTTCATTTTGTTTCTCTAGAGCCTGTGAGAGTAGTTCTATGCACAGGACACAGTCGGAAGTTAAGCAGCTGCTGATGAAACATCGCGTCGCAACCTCGAGACGACGCTCGTCGTAATCATGGATCTCTGGTTGGCTGCCGCGACATCGAGGCTGCAGCTCACAAACCACAACAACATACACACGTAGGCTACAGGGCTGTTGCGCTGAGGGTCTGAAGACAATTATTGATTATCTTGTATTATTCGAGAATTATCCACCAGCCCAGTGACATTATTTGTATCTGTACACTTTTAATGCCGCAAAGTGAAGAAATATCCACAACAAACACGGGAGACTCAACCCGATTCTCAGCATTCAGAGATGAATGAAGAAGAAGAAGAAGAAGAAAAATAGTACAGGAGATGTGAGTGAATGGCAATCCCAATAAGTATAGCCAAAGAAGATAAGAAATAAAAATAGAATAGAATAGATTGGGGTATCCATAAAAAGAAAAGCAGAATACTATCCAGACATGAGAGACATGGCACGCTGATGTGCAATATAGTGTAGAATTTTAAGGTCGACTTCGAATGGGAGGTTTGCCCGCTCAAATCCGGTGAATCACTACCGGATGGGCCGTGACCTGGGAGCTGCGCTAGTCGTTGCGCCGGGCTGATATACAGCGATCGACAAGGCGAGCGTAGACTGCGGACTATAAGCCCGGTCGGTTTGTGAAAGAATGCCTCTTGTGCATTATCTGCAGCAGGGCATATTCGAGTACACCCAACTGCGATCACAATCCGTCAAGACTCTCTGTGAAGCGACTCCCCCGGCTGCCGTCGAAGCTCGGGTGGCTACGACCCAGTCCGTCTGGCCGCTGGGGTATCGTGGGGGATAACGTAACCCCCGGTTGAGGAATGGCACGCGAGGCAGCCGGTACGTTCACCACGCTGACGTTCGTCGAGCTGGCAACCGGCGTCCGGGCGGGTGACGGTCGGAATACCACGACCGACTCTGCTTCATCCGCTTCCCGCGTGTAGCTCACATCCAGTGGCATCCCGTAAGGCATCGAGGGAGGAGGCTGAGAGATGACCGATCGCGGTTGGACAGGTGACCCCGGGGGTAGGCTCATGCTGGGCTCCGACGCGGTCGGAGATCCCTGATCGAACCCGCCGCCATAGCCATCCCCTCCTGACTGCAGCACCGAGGGGATCTTGCGGCCCGAGATCTTCTGGAACCCGCGTTCACTCGTGGTGGTAGATGTGAAGGTACTGTCGTCAGACCGCACCGTCTGATTCGACTGCCTCCATCGCTTCATAAAAGCCGGAGCAAAGTACGACGCCGTGAACAGGGGGTCGCGACTCGAGCGCCGTGACGCCATCTCGGTGCGTGAAACAGATCCTCTTTCTCCGGTCGTACCGCCAGTCCCATCACTCGCTGGGAGTCCACGATTCGGTCGAAACAAGGCCGTCTTGCGCCGTCGCAGCAGGAAGAGTAGCAGGCCGAGCAGGAAGAATGCGCCAGCGAGACCTCCGACAACTCCGCCCACAATGCGTTTGGTAGTGACGGAGTCCAAGCCACCACCAGAGGACGAAGACGTGGTTGCTGAGGGAGCCTGGCCCGTAGCAGTTGCGCCTGAATCTCCGCCTCCAAAATACGTTCCCGTACTATACAGGTCCGCAGTGGTAGTGGCCTCTGACACGGACGTGGTCGAGTACTCACCAGAATAGTCGCTGGAAGTGCTGTCGTATGAACCGTACGAATTGGTACCGTTGGTGTAGGTCGAACTAGAAATTGTACTCGTCGAAGTGGGCTTTGGTGAGGATATTGGGGTCGAGCTCAATACAGCACTCGAGGATCGAGCACTAGGTATTAAAGCGGACGACTGGGTGCTACTCGCAGAGTTAATAATAGCGATAGACGTTGGGACCGAAACGGATATGGAAAGCGATAAGTCTAATGACAAAGAGACATAGGCGGTGGGTATGGTCGTCAAATCGTTAGCACTTGTAATTGCTGAAGTGTCCGCTGTGAACGAAATCGGGCCAGGTGACGGGGTAGGAATCTCATTTAACGAAGTGGTCGACGGCACAGCAGCCGGGGGGTTCTCGACAGGAACAGAGACGGTTGGTTGACTGGAAGCAGGATCGGATATGGATGTCGGAAGAGCCGCAGCGGTGTCCGGAGATGCATCGACAACACTGGTTACTGTGGTGGCCGGCGCCGCCGTCTGAGATTCTGGAGGAACGGCGGAGGGGTCCTGACGCTTTTCTAGCGAATGATCCGAGTCCTTGTGCGATACTTCCCCCGACGACTCATGACGCTTACTATGGTCCAGGACGTGCGCCTTTTGTATGCTGGAAATCAACGACCCTGCTGACTCTTCCCCTGGTTTGCTGGCTGGTTCGACTCCCTCGTGACGTGTTCGATGCTTCTGCTTCATCAGTCTTGTAAGCCGCTGACTCCGAGCAATGCCGTTGTGTGCCATTCTGGCAGATTGTCCTCCTCGGTGTTCCCTAATCCCGCAACGATCGCATGCAAGCCTTGGAATTGAATAAACAGCACTGCTTCAAGTTGAGGTGAAATGATTGACAATCGTTCAGTCGTCGATAACGCACGTGTGTCTGCCTGCACAGCGCCTCAGATGATCTGCAAAAGAGAGAAAGTAAGATCGATTGATGCAGGATGCTGATTGAATTGAATATTGAAAGAGTGTTGAACAATAGACCATGCGCCGCAAAGGAGTGAGCGACGGGTCTAAGCCGTTGTATCACGCGAAAGGAGCGACGAGTCGGTCTGTAACAAGTCTGAAACAGGCGGAATCGTATACCGTAGCGAAACCAAGGAGTGGACGTCAGCTGCCACTGTGCAGCCGACTAATTGTAGACAGAAATGGAAGACTCAGGGTCATAAAAGTCTAGAAAGTTGACCAGATATCGTTAGCTCTTTGAGTCCTTGCCAGTTGAATCGATCCATGAGAATGAAGCTAGGCAGCGAAACACATACCTTTAAGGAAAGAATATGAAGCGAAAAGATATAATGGAGCGATCACGATTGCTATTCGAACGATCCTCCGAGAATCTTAATCCATGCCTGTCGCGGAGGAGATCTTCGCAGGATTCACCACACGATGAGCTTCGACTCAAGCTTGCAGACTGCTGAATTTCTCTGTCGACTCTCCCAACGGTTGACGGTCGACGGTCGACGGATCCACGTTGTTGAAAGGTACCCAGGTTCCGGACCCAAGGATCGTGATCCGTTCTTTTTCGTTCTCGGCACACGTCCCGCAAGAGTTAACCGTGAACTGAGATGTCCGCTCACTGGTCTGGTTACACCAGCGCCAAATCTAGCAGTGAGCGCAGCTAGGTCAAAAATCGAGGATACTCACTCGGCATCCGACCATGAGGGGAAACGGTGGTGGTGAGGGAGAGGGGAGGAGGCGTAGCCGCAAAGGAAAAGGAAGAGAGGGGAACGAGGAAATGAGAAGAAGAAGAAGCGAAGCAGCGGTCGTAAAGCAGACGGACTAGACTAGTCTGCAGTTGAGTAGTCTCGTTTTGAATATTTACACTGGCTAGCTGGGGAGTTAGCCGACCCGACCAGGTTGTTTGTTGGTGGTGATCGATCAGGCCAGGCCAGGCACACAGGAGCAGGAAATACAGTAATAGATACAGACAGGCTCACGAGTCACAGCGTTTTCCCGGGTCTTAGACTGTTTTCTCTTAGACCCTCCGAGGCGGGTGCTAGTCTCGATGGCCTCATTGGGCCAATTCCAAAATTAATTTAAGGTACATCTCCTCCGTACTCAGCTAGACCGCACGAGAATCTTCTGCTGTCCACCACTCGACCTGATTCTTGATGATATTAGTTTGTAGTTGCCCTCTGCAAGGTGATTGCATAACAGTTCAGACATAGGGTAATATCATATTATCCGAGACATAGCAGATCACCATCCTGTTGCTGCAGCTTGCATACGATACCGAGATGTTCTGGCCCAAACAAGAAGAATTAAAAAAAGAGACACGCCCCACAAAACTGTGGGTCGAAAAGCGTCACTCGCTTACCCACTAACCCTGTTATAGTTTAGCCTTCTAACTAGCCAGAAGAGTGTTTAATTAGATCTCAGTCTGTGTAAATAAACACAACAGTACCGCAGAAAGACAGGGTCGTATTGCCAGTTGGACCATTTGGCTACAAGTCTATCCCCTCATCCGTGTAATCCAAATCAGTTGAACAAAATCATATTTATCCTGGAGTGAAGATACCAAAAGCCAGCAGTAAGCAGTCTACACTAACCATTAAACCCGTTAATAATACCCCGTACGACAACCCCTCAGCCAATGCAGTAAGTGCTAGTAATGCACCCCTGAGGCTCAGACTGCGACTGGAGGCAAGGGGACTCCCTCTATCGCCGCGTGTAACCAATAGCCTAAGCCTGCAAGGTACAATTCTTGCAGACTACGGTCCTACCTTTTCTGACTGAGGCACAAAGCACGAAGTCGAGTCACATCTCATCCCAGTCCTAAAGCCATTTTCTCGAGTGACATTGTATCACCGTGTATTTCCGTCCGTTCCTGACTCGTAGTCTTTTCTATCCCGCTGTCGAGACGACAACAGTCCATTAACGACGAGATACTTAACGATCACACCTGGAAGGGCTGACGTACGACGTTAAATTTGCCGTCTACGTCTTCCTCCGACCCACTGCTATTTATATGAACTCGCCCCGTTCAGAATATAAATATCACTTCAGAGACAGTCTCTTCCCGTGTGATGGTGTCATTATCCGGGAGAGAATGATCAAGGTCCACCGACCTCCTTCGAGAATACCATCGAAGGAATGGAACCCGTCTGCCAAAGTGGCTGACACCTAGTACTGAGGAACGTTCATGGAAGGTCGTGCACAATCACCTGATTGGCCTTACTGTACGGAGTACCGCCTTCATGCCGGAAAAGTTTCGACATATGGAAACTGCACAGTCGGCTGGTCTTCCCAGTCATGGATGAAAGCAAAGTACAAGTAGACCACAAATCTCGATCTCACGCTATACACAGGCTGACTTTCACTCTATGCTTTGCAATTCGTATTTGTCTGCTCACCACACGCCCAAGCACGGATGAGGCGGTTCTCGCACTCCACATGCAACTAATTCAAACCAAAGACGGATGGAAAAGGGACCGATTCAAGTCGGTGGGGTGGTAAAGGATCACGGTTTCAACGCTAGTGATAAAGGGGTATTAGTAACGAAAAGACGTCCATTGCCATGAAACTAGAATGTCTCCAGCTCATCGGCGACCTCCGCTTCCGCTGGGATCTCAAACCCTTCCTGTGCGAAGAATTAGCACATGAAGCAAAGAATATAGACAAAGCGTCGCAAACACGTACCTCTGTCGAGTACAGGATGCCCTGGATGTGCTTCACCAGAGAGTCTTCTTCCTTCTCCAGCTCCGGGTCGGCCTCGATGGCATTCTGCAGCAGCAGCTCGATATCCCGAAGCTTGGCAAAGTAGAAATCGCGCTCCTTCTCCAGGCCAGCAATAGCCTCCTTCTGAGTCGCAATCTCCTGCTGCAGAGCAGCAGTGCTGGCTCCTCCGGCGGCGGCGGAAACCCGAGGGCGAACAGCGCCGGTTGTAGGAGTAGCTCCTCTCCGGGTAGCCCCCGCCGAGGACGATGCGCCAGAGCGAGTACCAGCAGCAGAAGGGGCAGGAGCGCCAGAGCCCTTCCGGCGGCCGACGGCATCGTAGTCGCCCCCGGGGTAGTGCTGGTCCCAGTATCTCTTGGTCCACTGGAGAAACTCGAGGTTATCCTGCATGCGACATTTTGAGAGTTGCTGAACCGGGATCGGCTTCTCGATCTGGTGGCGGGTGAATGTATCTGAATAGAGCCGTAGCGGTCAGAAAATGGGATCTCACCCATGGAATATACGGTCCATGCGGTGTCATACTCTGAAGGATCTTGAAATTCTGAAGATAGGCGTACTCGGTGTTGACATTGAACTTCACACGCGACATAGGAACATCCACTGCACGAGGGAGCCCACGTTAGTCAGCCACACGCAACTGTTAAACCCAAGTGGCTCCTTGAAGCCTGCTAGGTGTTCACTCACTGAATATCGAATCAAAAATCTGACACAGAGCGGCCCTGTAAACCCGAATCAGCACTTTGAAAGCATGTTCAAATCCGTGTTATCCTTCCAGGTTCGGCGTGGGATGGTCGACGATTTCAAGGGCACAAAAAGGAGCGTCAATCGTACCCGGTTCCGCACTGTTCAATCTTGGTCAGATTCAGCTGTAGCAGGTTGTTAATCCATGCCAGCAGTTCCTGTCTGTATAGCGAGAAATGCTCAAATTAGTCAGATGCTCGACATCAAAACAAAGCCCCTTGGGGGAACGATCAGTCGGCCTGACGAACCTGGATTCTCCCATGGTGGGGTATTTTTGTCACTGAGAAGATGCACAACCGTTGAAAGGGCGTCGGGGAGGGATTGTAACTCGAGCGATATCGAAAAAATAGGAAATTCAGCTACAGATGGCCTTTGTTTTGATTGAGATTGAATTTGTTTATAGGGAGAGAGAACGAGGAGCCGTAGAGGCAGAGGATTGTTTTGCTTCTGTCCTCGAAACCCACGGCTCTGCCTGGCGCTAACGAGGCCCCCCTGGCCAATCACATTCACCCTCTCCCTTTGCTTCAACATCACTGAGCTAACAGGAGATGATGAGTAAATGTCGGATATACCAGAGGCAAAAAGGGGTAAATTAGTCCAAGTATGCTATATAGGGGATTGTAGGGACCAGGATATAATCAGTAGTGCTTTGACTCTAAGTCCAACTCAATTGCACCAGTAACAGCCAGTGTCTAATCTCTATGGTGTGTTTTCGTATGAAATCAAAGAGCAAAAAAAAGAGAAAAACGAAACAGGCTCCAAGTCTAACAAGTTTAGATCAAACAAATCTATGGCTTCTAAGGGAAAACGTTTCTTTTGGAAAGACCCAGTGTATCATCCGACAACTCCAAACCCGGCATAATTCCAGCGTTCGTAAGAAAAAGGAAGGCGTCAGTTAAGATCACTCTTCCAACAGCTCAATGCCATCCAAGCCATAGCCAAAATCCATAATGACAGCTCGAGAATCTTGGCTGGTGGCAACGATGCGTCGGTAGTCCGACTTCACACTCAACATCCAGCTGGTGGTCCAGCCAGGCAAGTCAATAGAGAGCTCGCCGGTCTGGGCGTCGAAGACCTTGACACTCATATCATAGCTGCCGCTGACAATTCGCTGGTTCGTGCTGTCCAGATGAAGTGACCGGACAAGACCAGCATGTCCTTTGAGCTCACGAACCATCTCGGCAGTGTTCGCGTCAAACTGGTAGATCGATTGGTCGTTTCCACCGGTGAGAATGGTACGCGCGTCATCACTGAATTCCACACAGGCTAATCCACGGTCCTTGCTGGCAAATTCCTTGACACAAAGACCCGAGGTAATGTTCCAGAGTTTGGCTACTCCGTCCCCGCTCGCCGACACGACAAGATCGCCCCGGAGCTGAACGGCATTCACGGGTCCACGATGGCCGAGAAGCTTCTTTACCAGCGCGCCCGTCTGCCGATCCCACACGCAGATGGTTGTGTCCTTGGAGCAGGATACGATGTACCGATCATCAAAGCACACGTCCAGCACGCCAGCTCTGTGGCCCTCCAGACGACGAATCGGCCTGTAATCGTTCTTAATGTCCCATACAATGCAACTGAAGTCAGACGACCCCGTGACCATGATCTCTTCGTCAAATTGAAGACAAAGAATGGAAGCACTGTGGTAGTCGGAGCTCTGGTCAATGGGAGTCACAATTCCTGCCGAGAGGGTAGGAGGAGGACAGATGGTGAGAAAAGGAGGTTTGCCCGACGACTGCTGAGTCGGGTTGTTGACCTGTCCAATGCTCGAGACCTCGCTCGGAGGAGGACCAATGATCTTACGGCACGGCCACGGGTAATGAGCATCCCACACCCGGATGGTTCGATCACGAGAACCAGTGATGATTTTGTCTCTGTGAAGTCCAAGTCAGATCACTGCACCATATAAGGTAACGACGCTGGAAAAAGTCAAAACATACTCATCGAATTGAACACAGTAGACGCTGTCCGTATGGCCGTGCAGGTAGATTGCGGCCGCTTTTCCCTCTTTCCATCGATGATCAAGAGCACGGCGGACAAGGAACATCTTCTTCCAGTCCTGATTCGGAATTGACTTTCCCAAGCCAGTTGACTGCCTCTTCTTAGAGGCGACACCGCTGGGGAGGCGATGTCCGTACGCACGACGAAATACCCGCCTCCAGATGTGCCGAGAGGATGCCTGCTCTCTCCAAGCACGAGAAACTAGTTCCGCCTGCATCAAAGACTCGGGGTCGAGATACGATAGCGCCAGCGACATGATCTCAGGCGGCAGATAGGTCACGGGATCAATGCGGACAATAGCCAGATCCACCTCAGATAATTCCGAGCGATCGCGCAGATCAATGTCAATGCCGCTCTCCGAATCCCGAGTGACTTTCAAATCGAATGCTTTGATATGTTCTCGTTCCGCTCGCGCCAATTCATTTTGTGCAGCTGCAGCGGCCCGAGCGGCGGCCCCGGCGTAAATATTGTTTGGAAGAATCGGAGGTTCAAGTCCACGACCGGGGATAGGGGCCGGAACTGAGGCAACAGGTGCGTAGAACGTCTGCAAGGCAGTTTCGTAAGTAAGAGAAGGGCGGCGGTTGGGGTTGTAGCCCTTGCACCAAAATTGCTCTGATCCGGCTTCTCCACACGCACTGGCATCTTGAGGGTCATGGACAGCAGCACCGCCATCTTCGTGAGTGTGGTGATGAGACGCATGTCGGGATGACTTGTGACGGATGGTCACAGAAAAGCGACGGCCCAGAGCGCGCAACCCATCGATAGAGTGCCGCAAACTGGAGAAGCTCTTTGCAGCACGGCGCTTGGTAACAGGTTCAGGGAAATAATTTGTCTCTTCCACGACGTCTTCATCGTCATTGTGGTCTTTATCGGCGCAGAGTGACCCATTCCAAACATCATGTTCCAATGCGAAGGGGTGTGCTGTTGACAGTGTGGCATTGCGAGGGCGAGTCTTGACGGAGAGTGAGGGGCAACGTCGAGCGGGAATAACAACCGGTTCTCGTGGCATCACGGCGTTTGGGAGACTGAAGTAGAGATCGGCAGCAGGATCAGATCCGAATAGAGGTCGAGGAGTATCGGGGAAATTGCGTTCTGCACGAGAGCCAGCTGGGACCGAGGAATAGTCCAGATATTGACGCTTCGGAAACCTATGCCCTTCAATCTGAAAGAATAGGGGGTTGAATGCAAGGAGCTGAGTATGTCGTCGGAGGAAATTTATGTACTCCCAAGGGCCAGCATGGATAGACGGTAGGTTCTAAATAAAATAATCCCAAAACTAATAAGAGAAACGAAAGAGAGGGATTGATATATCCACAACAAGGACTGAGCGACCACAAGAAGATCTACCCGTGATAGAGATATACTAGAGAGAGATTCCAAGGTCGCAGGGCGAGAGAATGTACAGCACACACCCCTGAAACGAAGGAGAAAAAAAATAGACAAGAAAGAAACAAGAAAAAGGGACGCTGACAAGAAACCAAAGCTGAGAGGACGGATATGAACAATAAGCAATAAGGGATAAAAAAAGAAGATCAAAGCAGGGGGGATTGAGGGAAAAAGGGTGACGGCAGGCGGTGAGAATGGATTTTTTTTTTGCCTCCCCAGCCCGATAAGGCCCGATTGGGAATTTCGGACGACTGAAGAGTTGGGAAAAAAAAAATTAAAAAAGATTGGGACACGTCCAAAGAACGCCAGTGCTTCTACACCGTTTCTAGAACTCCGCGTTCCAATGGCAATATTCGGGTTCCAACCATGGCGAAGGGGGAGGAGAGTTCATCATGACGGATACTCGTTTTGAAGTCGATTTTTCTCGAAAAACTCTATCATAGGTGGCGATGATATCGCCTCGTCTGCAGTACTTTTGACCGTCAATCCAATCCGACCCTGTGGAGAGGGACACTTTTCTTACTGGATATTATGTTGCAAGCAGAGTTGAAGACAAACTTTCTCACCGCTTATACAACATCCAATTGAGATATCCGTCATGATAAGTCAGGGATTTGCCTTCTTACAACTCAGCTTGGGTGTAAAATTAGGCGCATGCTTATGTAGCGTTGCACATGAAACATTGCTGGTTTCTTTTCTTTGGATACGAAGTTCTTCTTTTTTTCCTTTTTTTTTTTTTTTTTTTTTTACTGTCGGAGAACTGGCAGACAAGAAGATCCTTTAATTTACCTATCAGTCTATCGGAACTCGATTCAGATGATTAGATCCCTCTTCCGTCCCCGCTGTTGATGATATTCCCCATGGGGTTCTCTATCCACAAAAAGGAGCGGGAACCCTTAACAGTTAGGACTTCAGTAAGGACCATTTCCTCTCAAGTTCTTCCTTAAGCACAAATTTTTGTACCACATCTCTCTGGCTATTTCAACTTTGAATACTCTAACTGCAATTGATGAATTGCTTTGTTCAGTCCGCATGAACGACGCAATGCCCTACTAGTCAGTACGGAGTAACTGTGGGTGGCAGTGGAAAGGCCATTCTTGTGCGTGGCCTTTGATTTTAAGAAGCAATGGCCTTTCCACGCTGCGCATCGCTGGCTTAAGCAGTCGGGTTTAACTATATCAAGTTTGTCTTGGTTCGTATTTGGTTTGATGTAGGGATCAATACTCCGATATATTTGGCGCGTACATCAAAAGTATTAGAAAAGCATTTTAAAATAGCGTCATAATCTAGTAAATCTATAGATGCTTCGTGTTATGGGGCGTACCTACTAAGATAGGTCTTCCTAAATTGGGAAAGTTTCAGTAGTGGAAGACAATGTTCGGGATACTAAAGCCGAATGTATCTCCTTGGCCCCTTTGGCATTTAGAACTGGACATGCAATTATGTTCTTGCTGTTACCAATCCCTGCAGCTACACAGTCAACGATCATCGGAGCAATGGAGTATGCAGCCGTTTGCAAAATAGCACCAATAATCAGAATCCAACATCGCATAAGAATGCATCATCATCATCCTAGTTTCACAATCTCTCAGCCATCGCCAAAGACCTATGTTCCGCGACTAACAATTCCTCGTCCGCGGGAACCATCCAAATTCCATATGTAGGTATATTTTTATAAAAATGTTAGCTATCCAAAAGAGGTAAGTTATACATGGGCAAACACAATCCATAAACCACTACCTTCTTTTGACGGACTTATTTTATGGCTTGGTGGGTTAGGTCAAAATGTCACTCTAAGTTGATTGTAAGCCTCTACATTTGTACAACAGCAGAGGAAAAAACCATCACGACGATGGAAAAACCTATGCCGAGGCGTTAAGATAGCAAGGAAACGCAGAAAATTAAAAGAACTAAAGACATAATGGATGATTGAATTGCCAAATCAAAGAGGTTCCCAGTACGAAACGCAGAGCGCATTGAAAGAAATAGACAGCAGAAGGCAACCAAGGTTCATTTAAACATAACGCGTAATGGTACGAAAGCCCTGGTCGTTGATAACTATATCGCCTTCAGCTCCCGTAGGCTGCCGATCAAAAATGGCTCTGAAAGGGATCACAAGAGGTCCCCCGGTAATTGAATTCGGCGTAACAATTACCTCCTGGTGACAGAAGGCGGTTTGGCTGTGTGCCTGCTGCTGGACAAGAGGGGGCATCAGGTTGGGCTGCTGACGTAGCTGATCAAGCGCCTGCCTTGTAGGTCTAAGGTTCGGAGGGGCAAGCTGCCATTTCTCGAATCTGATCTGCTTGGTGACAGCTTTGATTGAGATTAGAATCACGATTCTGGTGTCCCCAGAGGAATTTTGAAACCACCAAGCGGCGTCTTGACGAAGCTTTTCCAAAGACTCTGAAACTCCCGTTTCTATGACGAGTGACTGCCAGCCATTGAGCTGGCCACCCAGAGGCAGGCGGTTAGGAGGAAAAAGGCAGTTGTCCGGCTCTTTGCCACTGGTAGTAACGGTGCCGGGTGTCGTGACTGTAAGTCCCCAAACAATGTCGCTGTCGGGCACTCCCATCCGAATGCACTGCCGGTCGATGTATTGGCTCACAGCCGATGTGGTCAGATCATGTGCACTAGATGGGACTACTTTGATGATTCCAGTCGTCCCAATCCACATAAATCGAAACCCGATTCCCAGCAGGCAGTCGCGCCTATTGCTCAGCCTGTCAATGGCGGCTTGTGACATACCCCTAATAACCAGCCATTGATTTCCTTGCCAATTGTTCTGCTCCAACTGGTCATAGATGGCTTTCACCGCGAGCTGCAACTTCTTTGGGGTGGAGAACGACGAGAAGGAACGGAGCTGGTAGCTTTGTGGCAAGCCAGTCATAAGATCGTACCTATCGCTGATCACAATGGGGGACGGCTCGCTCAGGGGACGGTGATGAGGGCGACCGTTGGTCGGCTCTGACGAGGCATCAGTCATATATGTAGCCATTGTGGTATAATCAAAGTCAGGAGTTGAGAGAGAGCAAATTGAAAAAGGGTACTGTGAGATGAATCGAGGAGCAACAAAGTAGACATGATGATGGTATTGCCCGAGGAATTTGACAGGATAACAGGCGGATATGAAGATCAAGAAAGACGGGAGAAACGGTGTATAGAGAAGGGAAGGGGAGGTCGAGAGAAAGAGAGACTGGGGCTATATGTGAAGGGGAGGAGAGGTCGAGAGAAAGAGAGACTGGGGCTATATGTGAAGGGGAGGAGAGGTCGAGAGAAAGAGAGACTGGGGCTATATGTGAAGGGAAGGAGAGGTCGAGAGAAAGAGAGACTGTGGGCATATTTATGCCTGAAGGGCTATATTCACATACCATTCTCCATTGCTAGACTAACAAGGATATGCAACGAATTCAAGATCAAACTGTGAATACTGTAGTGAGATCAAACTGTGGTAGTGTTGCGGCGGACTATAGCTACCTATGATATGGACTTTGGTATTTTTGCAATGATTACGTCTCAGCACTTCCGTCCTCTCTGTAGTTACACGCAGTTCACTGATACCGAATACCATAATGTAAGGTAAGGAGGATAAGTTAATTATACCTTATAGTAGGGATATCGCATACATAGTACATGTAGTAGGGATGTCGAATGATTTGAATCATCATATAGTAGGGATATTGGAATAGATACTGCGTATTTAAGTGTATATCCAAGTATGGTGGTATTCAATACTATGTATGCAATTAAAGGGAGTAGAGTTATTAATAGGTTTATGTTTTATGTTGCCTGCGAGAAAGAAGACTTAAGACTGCTACTGTAGAAGGTATGAAGAAAACGTTGGGAGTGACGTCTTTATAGACCACACACACATCACAATCAGCGGCAGTGATGCGCTTTCCCCAAATAGGAACGCTATACTGCTTCCAGTAATTCACTATCACTGCAGTACGCACAGGAGTCAGGGATTAGCCTTCTGACAGCTCAGCCTTTGTAAATTAGGCACATCCTTGTTTCAAGGATTGACTGTCCTTTTTTATGCTTTTCTTACTGTCGGAGAACTGGCAGACAAGAAGTTCCTTTGAATAATTAACATATCAGTCCATCGAAATCCGGTCCAGATGCTAGATCTCTCTTCCGTCCCTGCCGGTCGATGATATGCCCCATGGTGTTGTCTATCCACCGGAAAGGAGCGGGAAGCCTTAACAGTTAGGGCTTCATCAGGACCATTTGGAATTTCCGTGCCACATCTCTCTGGCTATTTCAATTTCGAAAATTCTGACTGCAATTTATAAATTGCTACTGGCAATGAACAACCAATACCCTACTATTGACTAGTACGTCGAGTACCCTGTGGGTCGCGGGCAGTATATAAAGCAGCGCCTTGGATTATTTCACCTGTACTGTGCATAAACTATACAAAGCTTTTCTGTCATATCCTCATATCTTAGTCATACTAGTGCATCACATCAAATCCAATCATTGACCAAAGACCTTGTCATAACCAGTTAGGGTAAACCGGTAGCGAACATCTCCCTTCTTCATCCGGAGCATCGCCTCCTTGAGACCCTCCTCGCCGATCTGCAACTCCTCCACCCAGCTCTTTAGGCCCTTATCGGCCGCCAGCTGAAGCATGGCCAGCATCTCCTTCCGGCTGCCAAGATGGCTGGCTCCGATCAGGACTCCGTTCGAGATGAGGTGCTGTGCCTTGATGACCTGGCCCTCTTCCTCGGGCAGACCGACACTGATCCAGCGGCCGTGCACATCCATCATAGACAGGTACTTGGCCAGGTCGAAGCCCTCGGAGGAGTTGGCGCAGTTGATGATGAGATCAAACGAGAACCGGTGAGGCTTCTCCCAGCCCTCCTCCGCCGTGGCGATGTAGCCATCCGCACCAAGCTTGCGAGCATCGGCCTCCTTGGCCCGACTGCGGGAGATGGCCCAGACCTCCGCACCGAGCGCCTTGGCGAACATCACACCAAAGTGACCGATGCCTCCCAGGCCGACGATACCGACCTTCTTACCGGGGCCTGCGCCGTTGCGGACCAGGGGAGAGTATGCGGTCAGACCGGCGCACAGCATTGGGGCGACGAGGTTGCTATCGAGGGCGTCGGGGATGGGAAACACCCAATGCTCGTGGGTGCGGACGTGGGAGGAGTAACCACCCTGGCTGACGATGCCAGTCTCGGGCCACTCGGCGCCGTATGTGTCGATCATGAGGACAGGGCAGTATGTCTCGTTGTCGTTCTTGCATTGCTTGCATTCGCCGCAGGAGTAGGACTGAGCGCCGACGCCCACACGCTGGCCCTCCTTGACCAGGGTCACTTTGGGGCCGACACGGATTGCACGGCCGACGATTTCTGTCGAAGTACCTCCAGTCAGACATGTTCACCTCGGTATGCTAGACGGGATGAGATCCATTCTTACCATGTCCCACACAAAGGGGGAATTTCTGCTCTCCCCAGCCACCTGAACCACGCTGTTAGCAAGGCTATCATTTTGGTTTCTTGGACGCAAACTCAAGTCTTACCACTGATCGTGTGCACATCACTGCCGCAAATACCGCACGCTTCGATCTTGATGTCGACGTCTAAAGCGAAGTGTGTCAGTCGTTACAAACGTTCTGCTTGCGCTTGATTCACGGTGTACACTCACCATAATCACCAAAAGGCTTCAGCTTGAACTATACGCAACAAGACATGAAATTAGCAACGACCGCCGAGTCGCAAATAAGAGAGCGTCACATACAAATCTCTTGTGGAAGGTGGTGAAAGTCTCAGGGCTGTCGACCTGGAAACCTTCAGCTTCGTCGGGGTAAGGCATTGTGAAGGATAAATTCAGTTGCTATCAGAAGACAACAAAGAGACGGTCAAGAGTCAAGAGCAGACACGAAACTGAAGGGAAAATAGGGAAAAGCAACCCCTCCAAGTCAGGACCACGGCCCATCTTTAAATCTGGCATGTAGCGTCCTGAACGCACCAGCCCACTTGGTTGATCCCACCCGCTTCTCCAATTATTTTATCACTATCGACTGCGGAGTTACGGCTTCTCGTGACATTTTGCGCGCAAGAGTTGCCAGGCTTGCCAGCCACGTCGAGTCGAGTTTCCGTGGATTGTTCCGACAGATACTTTTCATACTTGCAGTATACTAATTGACAGGCTGATTAGACGCCTGGTTCAGACCAAATGCAGTCTTGCTCTATGTTAAGGCTGAACACGAACTATGAGCATTGTCTCCTATGTAGTAGGCTCTCTGGTCCCCCTCGGAGAATGGACTTCATCCCTCAACGCACTCCACCATCATCACAACCTCCTAGTGAATACTGGAATTTCAATCTCATGGACAAAATTCAAACGTCGCATGACAACAACTTTCCATCCAGAACTTTTTCGGCATGTCTTCTGATGGTTAAGGTAGTATTCGAGAGCTGCCCGCTCGGGGTAAATTGTCCACCTATCAGCATCAAGCTGAATTGTACCTGGCGTGGGGGCAGCCTCGCAGATTTGGAGAAACTGATTTCAGGTACAGCTGAAAGGCGGCATTAAAGTCTATCCGGCGAAAACGAGAGGAAGAGATTTCAAGAATCATGGGAGAAATTGAGGGGATGTCATTGTTGTCAATGATATCCCGAGTCAGCGAACGTAATTTTATTACTACAGCGGCTTCAAACGGCCCGAAAAGTATCTTGCCCTCAACATAGCCAATCATAGCTTCATTGCATTCGAAAATAAGTAAACTACGGGGTAGGTATAAAAAACTCTATGCAATGTCAGGCAATGAACGCTCCACCTCCATGGCATCCTTGATCTTATCTGCCACCGCTTGCGCCTGCTCCTCGCTAAGTCGGGCCAATGGTCGCCGAGGGTACCCGCCGTAGCCATAGTAGCTCTGGATCGCACTCTTGGTGCCAGGGATGGCCGCCTTGGTGAGCACCCAGTCGGCCTTGCTGAGCAACTGCTGCGCCTCCATGGCCTCCGTCAACCGGCCCTCACTCCACAGGTTGAAGATCTGCACACACAGACGGGGGATGACGTTGGCCCCGCCGGCCAGGATCGCCGAGCCGCCGGACACCAGCGTCTGCAGGGTGAAGTCGGCGATACCGCCGAAGGCAATGTAGGGGTGGTTTTCAACCTGCTTGGTGGAGGGCTTCTTTGTTGCGGGGGCGAGCGGGGAAGGAGGAGTGATGGCGTTGAGGGCGCCGGCGACACGGGTGAGCTTGCCCGTGTTGGCGCAGGTGAACTTTGTGCCGACAATGTTGGGGTGCTGCGAGATGCGGATGATGAGGTCGGAGTCCATGTCGATGCCGGCGACGGCGCCGGGGTAGTTGTACAGGATGATGGGGAGCGGGGAGCCGTCGGCGACGGCGGTGAAGTATTCGTAGAGCGTCTCATCGTTGCCGACGGCGTAGCGGTAGTAGCTGGGGGGCACAATGAGGACGTACTCGGCGCCGGCCTCGGCACATTCCTTGCACAGTTCGATGGTGCCGCGGATGCTGTTCTCGCTGGCGCCGGCGATGACAGGGACGTTGGCGAACCCGGCCTCGACCAGGGCGGAGCGTGTTTCGCGGATGACCGTCTTGCGCTCTTCGCGGGTCAGGTGCACGGCTTCACCGTTGGAGCCCATGGTGACCAGACCGACCAGACCGGCCTTGGCCAGGCGGACAGCATGGCGCCGGATAGTAGGGACATCGAGGTCTTCAGTGTCGGGGTTGAAGAAGGTCATGGTGGGAGCATAGACTCCGGGACGGAGAGGTGTACGCGACGCCATTTTGCTGATATAATTGAGCCGATATGATGTACTGTGATCAATCTGGTCAGTATATACAGTAGCTTAATATCGCCTTGGAAGGGGAGAATCACATACGGGTATGTAAACAATTTGATTAACAACGGTCGCGCTCAATCAGGACGATTTAAGAGAACAGTTATGATACCAGCCTAGCAGGCTGCAGGTGTCCGGCATGGCGCCCGTCTATAAATATAGATCCAAAAAAAAATTTGTTCCCACGGAGTCTCCCCCTCAGTCGAGGCTATATTCCGCGATGACTTTACCCCGCGAAGTTGACTTCCTGAATAGTACTGACATCCCACTTCCCCCACTTCAGTATCTCTGTATCTCTGTATCAATTGCCCCACTCCGGCGTCGGTCTTTTTGCCGTGACAAGACGGACGGGAGAATTTCCACCAATCAAACTGTGGTCTGCGTCGGTATTGAAAATTGCCGTTTTGGTACCTGAGAAGCAAACACCGACATACATGAGGATGACGAGGTATACTTCCTTATACAGTAGCAGTAGTGAGCTGCTTTTGTCTCTGAAACAAGCCATGGCTTGTTCTTCCGTATTACTGCAAACTCATGGAACTATGCAATTCTTTCCATCGAATCAACTGCGGCGAGATCATCCACAAATAGAGTGTTTGTAGTTACTCCTGTACCCCAAATCGATATGTGGATCGGCTATTGACGCTGTTCCCACGGCAGAATTCAGGCTGGAGGGTCCTTCGTTCTTCCGTCAATTTGCCCATACACAGCTGGGAACCGGGGATTACAAAAGTCTCCCTGTGCCGTGGACTGCGAGATTCGAGACTGTAACGAGAAATTTGCTCTCTTCCTTCAAGATACCCTCTCGCGCCCTTTACCTCACCTGCTCCTCTACCCCGCACGCCGATAACTAAAGCTTCATCTTCGATTTTATCCACGAGAGCACTCAATATGGCGCCCAGTGTATTGATGGCAAGTGAATTATTGTTCAACTCAACCGACTATAGCTAACTTGCTGGCAGGTAGGGACTGGAGAGTACACCACGGGTTTCGTGGGTGGTGCTGCTTCTGGTTCGGACAAAAAGGTTGGAGTTGTCGGGTTGACCCTCTTTGACCTCCGACGACGAGGCAAGGTTGGCAAGCTGAGCATGGTGGGAGTTTCCGGACGCAAGTTCCCTGGCATTCGTAAGGCGCCCCAACCCGTATCCCGAATCCAGTCCCCTGAAGCTTGAACTGACTGGCCGGCCAGGCGAGCATCTTCGCAAGAACATCTCCGAGGTCTACAATGGCCTGGACGTTTCCTTCGAGTCCTTCCCCGCCGACGACCAGACCGACCCGGACGCCTACAAGGCTGCAATTGACGCCCTGGAGCCTGGCAGCGCCATCACCATCTTCACTCCGGACCCCACACACTTCCCCATCGCTCTGTACGCCATCCAGCGCAAAATCCACGTCATGATTACCAAGCCCGCCACAAAGCTGCTGCAGGACCACCTCACCCTCCTCGAAGAGTCCCGCAAGCACGGCGTCTTCGTCTACATCGAGCACCACAAGCGCTTCGATCCCGCCTACTCGGACGCCCGCGCCAAGGCCAAGAACCTCGGCGACTTCAACTACTTCTACTCGTACATGAGCCAGCCCAAGAGCCAGCTCGAGACCTTCAAGGCCTGGGCCGGCAAGGAGAGCGACATCTCCTACTACCTCAACTCGCACCACATCGACGTCAACGAGAGCATGGTCCCCGACTACACCCCCGTCAAGGTCACCGCGTCCGCCGCCAAGGGCACCGCCGTCGCGCTGGGCTGCACCCCAGAGACAGAGGACACCATCACCCTGCTGGTGAACTGGCAGAACAAACAGGACCCCTCCAAGGTCGCGACGGGTGTTTACACGGCCAGCTGGACTGCCCCCCAGAAGGCCGGTGTCCATTCCAACCAATACTTCCACTGTAAGTTCCCCACCCCCCATCCAGCTTCTGAGTACTGTCACAATCTGACCGCTGGCAGACATGGGCTCCAAGGGCGAAATCCGCATCAACCAAGCCAAGCGCGGCTACGACGTCACAGACGACAACCAGGGCCAATTGGCCTGGATCAACCCGTAAGTCTCTGTCGCTTGCTTTGGTCTGACTGTGAAGGCATTTATTGATCTTGGGTTAGGTTCTACATGAGCTATGCCCCCAACGAGGAGGGCAACTTCGGCGGCCAGACGGGCTACGGGTACATCAGTTTCGAAAAGTTCATCGACGCCGTCACGGCCCTCAATGAGGGCCGCGTGACGCTGGACCAGCTGGATGCGCGGCCCCTGCCCACCCTCAAAAATACCATTGCCACCACTGCGATCCTGCATGCGGGCCGGGTCTCGCTGGACGAGAACCGCGCCGTGGAGATTGTTCACGACGGCGACAAGTGGGAGTTGAAGTAGACTTCTGTAGTTATGATATGTGTAGATATCTGAAAACTTGAATGTGATAGGACATAGTACACTGACACTGACACATGCGAATTCCTTGAACCTGTCAAAACGCATAAAACTTCGTACAATCTACCCTTTGAACAAAAGACGAGAATCCAACTCCGGAACACCACCGCACCATCGCCATGCTATGAAGAAATCTGCAATAATACCAGGAACAAACATAGCGCGAGAGATCGTGGTATCATGAACAGAAAGAACGCCAAGTGAGAAAATCCACCACATGTGCTGTAAGCACCGAAAGCAATTGAACCTTTCACCGCCGAGAGCTCTGCCTGACAATCCCATCGTTGCCCTTGTGGAACTTTACCCGACAGTCCGGGCAGTACCATTTGGCGGTACGGCTGGGCACTTCGGACAGACCGACACACTCGAGATGGAACCATTCTTTGTCGCACTATCGAGTCGTAATCATTAGTATGGATTGAAGATTGTGGCACACAAGGGTAGCAAAACTTACATCCTGGTTCTCGCAGCAGATCATCGTTCCGAAGCTGACATCTCCACAGAGACAATACCGCGGTTCGTTGGGGTCAATCTCTTCCAACACGCCATCTTCGTCTATGCGAATGTCCTCCCTCGTTGT